AATTATTCCCGTAATATTTGTTCTTTCTTTCTTTCGGAATTCTTTCTCCGACGTAGTTGGCGAGATCGTCCAACGCAAAAACAACTAGTTGGGGGAAAAAACAAGAAGAGTTTGGCGTGGGCCCACACTAGAGGATATTGTTGTCCGTTATTAAGACAAGCTCAAAGGGATCTGGTGCTTGCCCAGCTAACCCAAGCGAGAAACCACTTGAAGTCGGCAATATGGATGCAGTGAAATGATGTGTACACCTGTGCTTTTGGCTCCTATATCTGAATTCGTTAAGGAGAAGCTGTGCTTTCAATAACAAACATTTCAAACTGATGATCAATTGGTCTCTTATCAGTTTGAGGGGCTCGGCACGTTGCGCGAATCGCGGAAACTTATCCAATCAGATAGCCAAGAGGGTCAGAGGGTGGAAGTTATCGGTGTGAGGTCAAAGACAAGAGTAAGGGAGGGGGACAATCGGTCAAAAACGCACAATCGTACTTTTTGGGTTGCGATCAATCACGAATCGACAGGGGAAACACAGAAACGTATGAGTGTTACCCGATGGAGATGGGATTGATGGAACCCTAACATAGTGTCGGCCAGAGCCAATTTCGCATTCTCGGTGTGCAATGCGATGTAATCAGATAACCTGGTACTTGATCGATCCTCCTTCATATACATACATACCCATTACTGTTTCTCTGCTAATGATTGACCTTTTGAGACAAGCGGAGAGGTGCGCCTTGAGTAGGCAACCCGTCGTGGAACACAACGATGGGCCCAGGCAACGTGTGAAACGATGGTTTTGAATTTTTCGCATAATTTCTTTGGATATTCCGATATATTTGTATTATATTTGCACACACTTGTCTGAGGATCTACTGTGTGTCAAGCAAATCATGGTACTAGAATCTTTATGAAAAAGAAAAACGTTGCGTATGGGCTCAATATTGCCAGGTTGCCCAGGCCAAGGCAGGTGAATTTTCTTGGGGTTAGCCAAAGCCTGATCCGCAAGGCGGCGGGGCGGTGTGTGAAAACCGCAGTTCATTGGGATCCGGTGTCTAGTTCATCGGATCATACGCCTGTCGGACGGGGTCAAACGTCCAGGGTACCCATTACACCTCGATGCCCAATCGAGCCGGTGACCGTTGCCACAACCCGAAAGATGTGGGCGTGGTTCGTACGCCTCCTCATGGTTGGTTTGGAACCGGGGTTTTTGACCAACTCCCCTAGGTGAGCTACCAGTCACCCACCAACCCGGTTATAGCCCCGGATATCGGCTTTTCATCCTCTCACTTTGGTGGGAAACACCTCCACCACGAGAAGGCAGTGAGTAGGGCTTCCTCAGTAGAGGCTGTTTGAGACGCTTGGTCGTATGAGAGCATTTCGTGAGGCGCAAGGGAAGGGTGACCAGCCGCAACCCTAGACACCCACCCCCGACCATACTGATGCTTTCGGAGCGTACTCCGAAATAGCCATAGTTTCGTCCCATCAGAACAAATAGTTTCCTGCACTGTAACAAAGCCTACTCTTCCTAAACCGCTGCTATATCTCAATTCCCAGATTCTCATCCTTGCATCTGTCATTCGTGGCTGAATCTGGGGAGTCGATGCTATGCGTCGTGCTCTGACTTTTGGTATACTTTGTTCGGGGGACATCAGTTTCCGACTGCTATGCACTTGTGACGAAAGTGTTGTACCGCTCACGCATGCGTCATACAAACTATGTGTGTTGTTTGCATCATACGAGCACATATGAGCTCACGGTTCTCGTCCCCGGTTTGGTCATTTCGGTAACCAACTTTCGGACGGACAAACCAGGTGAACGGTTGGCGTGAAATTCAGCTCACCAAAAGTCAAGTGATCCGAGTGCGTTCCGGACTATACAGTTTCTCGCTTGTAGTTGTCAGAATTTGATTATCATGTAATGCGTTATGCTCTCGATCCCAGATAACGAACGTGCTGTTGATGACGCATTGATTGTTGACGAGGTAATCATGTTCACGTGTCCGCAATTAATCAAAATGAACACCTTGTCATTGGTCTTGGTCTAAGTCTATCCACAACCACATGCACTGTTTCCGCGTGTCAAAGTTGACCTGATGGTCGGGATGTGGGTGAGGGTGGGGGTGAGGGAAGGGGGAGGGTCGGAGAGTGGGTAGACCTTTCCAGATGAACATGTGATCATTGAATTGATGTTAGAAATCTTTCTGTTGTATTATGAAGTTTAACATATGGATGTAACCGATGACTATTCCAGTTATGAATCAGTTACCAACTCGTCATGTTTGGTCCAGTTTATATATCTAGTCTGCTTGTATACATTTTCAAAGTGAAATATTCCTCAAAGTTCTGCCGACTATCATCGCTAATGGTCTCGTACTTAACAATCTTGGTTTTATTGAGTTTGACTGGTAATTTTGTTTTTCGTTTGAATTAAACAAACTCACCATGACATTTACGCGCATCATCCGAACTCGTTCATTTCATAAGAAAGTGTCATCCACTGAAATTGTTCATTTTATCTTCGAATGTTTTTACTTACTGTCTTCCTACTACTACTTAATCCAAATGTTTCCCCGTTGTAAATCACACACACACACACACACACACACATATGTCTAATCGTCCATCTGCGATTAGGGTTTCCCGAGGAATCAGTCATCTCAAAAGGAATAAGGCATTCCGCCTGAATGAGCTGATCCCACCGGCATTTAAGGATGGACGTTCAGCCTTGGTCTCGGAGTTGACGAAACTCCTAGGTTCAATAGGAACTAGGGAACAGGTTCCAACTGAATGGTGTGAATCGGTCATCTTACCATGTTTACAAGAAAGGTGGAGACTACAATGAGCACTGCCTCTAAACTTCTCGTCGGCATCATACTCCGTCGATTGTCTGTCGCACGTGAAGAGTGCACCCGTGAAAGCCAGGCTGATTTTAGACCTGGTCGAGGTTGTATCGATCACATCTTCACTCTTCGCCAAACTCTGGAGCACCGATATTCCTTTCGTAGACCCACCATCCATGTCTTTCCCGATCTGAAAGCGGCTTTCGACTCAATCGACCGCTCTAAACTCATCACGGAAAGTGGTGTTCGTCAGGGTTACCCTCTCGCTTTTCTTCTATTTAACTTTGTTTTAGATTTGATTATGGTAAAAGCCCTGTCCGCGTGGAAGCCTCCCGGATGAAGTGCAGGCTCATATACAGAAAGCTCGATTGGCATTTGCCTACTTAAGGCATATGTCGCGTCGTCGCGACATCCGGCTGCCCGTGAAGGGTCGAGTGTCTGCTGTAGCAGTTTGGTCACGACACAGGAACTTGACCATTACGAAAACAAGATAGAGATAGACTGTCGGTATTCAAACACAGCTGTCTACGCAGTAGAGCCACGACCCGTATGGGCGTCGAGACTAAAAGGTCATGGTTAAAGCATTGCGGTTTTCGGCCAAAGACTTGTGGTTCAAGGATGAAGGATTACGGGTTTTCGTTAACGATTGATGGGAAAAAGTGTAGAAGAGCGTGACAACACGTTGAATAAATGTTAAGAATTTAATGAACACATATTCCGATTTTCAGTAACAATGAACTGTTATGTTAAGTACCATACAAATGATGGGATGCGATTTCCTAATCTCCGACATTCACAGGATGGGGATGAGGCCAATGCCGCGCACTTCGCATCTCAGTTAACAAACATTGAACGAGTTGACGCGCTTTGTGAAGTATTACTGTTTATGGCCGGTATTTTCACATTGCCACGGTTCTTAGTACGCGAAGGCAAAATCTCGTAACCGATGCAAGCGATTTCAATCTCAACTACCTTGTCCCGTTGAACCATTAGTTAATCATTATCTGTCGGAACTTTCCGACACGTCCGGATCTCTTGGTTGCATGTTCGATCAGCGCAGCTGATCGTGCTAATGGCACATGAGCTGGTATGATAGTTGCTCCGCTGCGTTCTGTAGTAGTTGGTTCGAACAGTAGTGGACCACGCAAAACATTTGTAGGTGAAAAAGAGACGCGGATTCAACTGATGTCGAGTGGAACCCGTGAGTACTATAGGGAGAGAGAAAAAAAATCCGTCCTGTTTCCAAGCACTCAAGCGGTATGTGTGTGAATCTTTCCAGTCAATTTAGTCCTGTTCTTGTACAGAATAAATTTCCATACGATGTGTCCCTATTGTAAATCACATACGTACATAAACACACCTCTGTCTGGTCTACGTGCACGGCATTCTTGTTTCTCATCCCGATCACCAATTTTCAGAATGCCTGCGGAACCATAATCTCGTTGGTCAATATCCTTACCAAATGGTTAGCTACCGGTAAGTGTCAATTTATAACCGTTTATTACATCTCTCTTTGATTTCACTGTCTTTGCTTACCTGCAGTTGTTTGTTGTTCTGTCTATTGCATACGGTTGCGTGTCACGATACAGGCGGGGTACTTTCCTGGTCGTGTAGCTTGCTAATGGAATTAAATACATAATCTATGACTAAGTTTGAAAAACCAACCATAGGCTCGGGTGGCCTACGAATACTATGGTCGGGCACTGACGGGGTCCGGACCCAGTTCATTAGGAATAGGTACTTTGTAGCAACACCGGTTTTAAAATAGACATTAGAGAATAAATGACAAAGACATGTGTAAGTATCGGTACTATGCATCGATATGAACAATTTTACACAAGTTAATCAATTGCGTTGCCAATCTCACTTATCAGTGCTGTAAAAAACTGTCTGTGTTTGTTCGTTCAATGCCACCTCCTGCACCCTCCCGCATTGTTATAGGTGTAATAGATGTAAACATTAATTGCTCCTAGGGTTACAGTCGTAGCCAGTTTACTCAATCCACCTTGGCTCATGTATGGTGACCAAAGGTGGTCGAACCAGCACCGCAAGCGAAGGAAGAGGAGGTACATGAACCGTCCGTTGCGAGAGTTTTTGTACTGTTAAAGTCATATTGGTCATGGGTAAAATGATATCCAAACAGGTAATTCCCTTTAGATCAATCTCACTTTGATTGCACCAACACACATGAACAAACATTTATCCTAATTTGTTATGGAATTCTGCATGGTTTGGTCTAAGAGATTGACTGATGCGTCATTGGTGGAAACTGTACTGTAACGTGGGGTGAGAGTACCTTGTTTACACTCATCCGTCCTGTTCTTCTGGTTGGTTCGTTTTTACCCCCACCCTGTCTCTCTGACACACACACACACACCATACTGCCCGAACTAACAAACCGATCCAGATGTCGGAACAAACGCATTCTGACAGGATCAGCTGTCTCAACCTGACTCACATCCATTGGTCTTCAATCCATATCTCGAGGTTGAAATCGCGGCCGTCACACACAGACAAATGTCAATCCGCACACAATCCCGAAAACTACGTGACAAAGGAGTGATTCCGTTCCATGACCTAGCGACCAAACAAAGATTTAGGAACAGGTGAATCGACTGTGTTCATCCATCCATCCAATCCATCACTATTTTGCACTTAAGCAGGGGGCTAAATTAAAAATTGGGGTGGTGAGGTAGTTATTATGAGCGATTCAGACCGTGTGGTGTAGCCTTGTAGTCAACGCACGACAGTGGTGGCAACTGACTTCACACAATACGTGTCTGCCGTTGTATTGTTATAATCACCCGTCATGTCCTGTCAGACTCCGCAGGTTCTCTGTCGTTATCTGGTACGGACAAGACTGTTTCTGGAGGGCAACACAAAGTTATTTGTTTCCGATGCGGTCTCTTGAAACGCATACTACAATCGATCCGGGGTTCTCTTCAAATCCAATATCAAACCATCAACTTAATCATGAAAACGGAGCTCACCACATTTGTGTGTGTTTCTCGATTCAAGATCAGTTTCGCATGCTATCACAGAATAATACTCAAGTAGAAAGGCTGAACACATCCAGTGCAGCAATTCTCAGGAAGAACAGACTTTTTTGGGTTCAATTCAGCACTCTTCGTGATCGTACATACTGTGCCATTAAACTGAAACCGAATGATCTCAAGGCATGCAACGAACTAAAAACAGGCTACTATGATTGTTCTTACACCACCCTGCATTCTCCGCCGTATCGTCTATAGTTGACAGCGAGCTGAATCCCACATGTGACCTTCATATCTACATATCTACATAAAACTTTTCCCGATTCGTTAGATGGCCGCGATCAATAAGCACGGTACCCCTCGATTTATTTCTTCTTTGCAGCCCAAGGTCATTCACCTCGGTCCATTATACTGGCCTCAATCGCTTATTTCCTATCAGCAATTACTATTGTTCTGGCTTGTGTGATCACATTCTTCTGGCTCCGTCGGTTGGTAAGTACGAGTTATTGATCTGCGTGTAGCGCGATTCACCGTGAATCGTTTGTATTTAAATTTTGATTTCTTGAAACAAAATGCCGACGCTTCGTTTTTTCGGAACTGATACGTACTGGTTATCAACCGTCTGACCGAGGTCGATTGCTTCCACTCCCAAGAAATTATCTCCTACATGTGTTAATCAACTGTCAACAAGGAGAGTAATACGAGAAAATTCATTTCAGTTACACTCATTCATTGATTTAGTCACCTTTTTCGAAGCCATTTACTCTCCGGTGTGTCATCAAAGTGCAAAACTTACAACATCGTCTCATGTTGACTCGATAGTCAACATCTTGTGTGAACTCCTCTCCCGCACACTATCTTTGTTCCTGTTGGTCAACTGTGTGGCTGAATGAATTCGACAAGATGGTCGAGCGTTACAGGCAAGAGCAGGCAGCGCGGGTTCTCAGTCCGTGTTAACTATGGTCCTTAACGTCGCATAGCCGCTGTTATCGATCTATGTGTGAGCCAATTGATTTGTAGTCATTCCGCTTACATTCACCAAGGATTGGTAGATTCATCACAGCCAAATATCGAATTGTCGACAGTAGGATTCGGAGAATATTCCGCACTGGTTACTCTTGAACAGTAGTCCTCGTCCGGGAAGATAAAGAAATTCCGCATAGCAGTTGATGGAATAAGCATTTGTAGGCGTTGGAAAACGAAGACAAACTTCTCAATACGAGGATGTTTTGTGCTACCGAAATCGGCCTATGTTGCTTATATTCCAATCTTGTTCGGAATCATCATGAACAGTTCAAATAATGATTCAATAGGAGGTCAAAAATGAAATCTCACATGTGGTGGCTAGACAGACTGTGAAGATGGAAGGTGATACAGAGAGAGTCCCGGCTAGCGAACGAATCAAGAATAGGGCCGATCCAACCGGGTGCGCAGAAGTAGCGGTTGGAAATACTTCGCGAGACAACATCGACTACCACTCGAAACGAACGAATCGACAATAACAGCCCGGCGGACAATCTGCATCTAGCCGGAATACCACAATATCGGACATGTCGATCAAAGTATCTCGCGCTACGATCGGGTCAAACCAGTCGGAACGACACGTGGAAGAAGAGGAAACGTGCGGACCAAAACCAACAGAAATGAACCAACAAGAATGAGGCATGAATCATCCTGCCGCGCGGTTGGGAATTGATTGTATATAATCGAACGCATACACCAGTTGTTTTGGAATTGTATCAATAAACGTTTTGCCGTCCGACTCGCCTTCTCGTTACAAGACCACTTGACCACCACCTGTTGTGGCGTTATAATGAACAATACTACTGAACTAGCACGAGCCGTGCGACAGTAATGACCACGAACAGAACCGTATGACCCAGCGGATAAGTAAGCAGTACACGAGTGTGCTCGATTGCGGTACCTGAGGCAAGTCCAAATCGAATTGGAAGGAAACACCCCACGAAAGTAGTACCATCTCTGAACCCAACTAGAGAGAACACGGTAGACACGCTTTCAGACAAGGTTGTGTATTTGGCTCGACGAAAAAGGCGAAAACTGTGGCCAACTCTCCTGTTTATATACAGTTTGGGGGCCGGCCAGTAATGACCTTGAAAAATGGCTGGAAATTAGTCAGTCATGGAGAAATGGACCAATGAGGATCGAATGTGGCCGGTGGTGCGAAATGAGATTTTTTTGGCTCCAGAATCCGGAAACTCAAATTTTATAACAATAATTAGAATAATAAGGAAAAGTAGGTGAAAATAATCACTTTCATTAGGAAAAATGCTCTTTTCCCTATCACCACCGTTCAGCTGTTTGGACGGCAGAACTTTGAGTGACACTGTTTGACCGATCTCAACCAATGCCCTAGCAATGGTTTCTATTGTCCCGGTGATGTGTAAAACAAAAATTCAGTCCTATAAACTATCCACATTCCGTATCCTGTTCGATAATTCTCAGCATAAACGCACATTTTTTGCCTTCTCTTGTCCTGTATGAAGGTTAACTTTCGATGTAACATTAAAAAGTAATATTTAGTTGGATTATTATACCCTTGTGAGAGAAAGAGAGAGCATGGGTACCACAATATTGCCTTGAATGGTCATTAAATGGTCGATGACCTTGACCCCAGGGTCTCGAAATGTTATCCAGAAACCGAAGACGCCATCTGTTTGTGAATAACTAGAATGAATAGTTGTGCTAAACGGATGCCGGTTAATCTCAAAGGATTTCTGGACAATCGTATCATCTACCAACCCTCTGCATTCTTCACGAAACGTACCCGCCACTGTTTAGACGATCAGTGGCGTATTTGCCACAATGGTCGTAAGCTATGGTCGCACCCTTTCAACTGGAAGCTGCTTGAGATCAATTTGTGTGACATGTGTTGCATGTTATCAGCGAACAGTTCCAATCGTACCTCCAGTTGCTCGTATAGCATTCAGTGCGTGATCGGAAAGATCAATGCCCATGAGACTGCTGATCAGAAAAAAAAACGGAAATAGAGAAACTCAGAACAGATGCATACATCTGTCTAACTGTGTTCATCACCCCCAAACTAGAACGAAATGCACTCAGTCTATTTGATTTTCGTGAGTTGGACCATCATTCACATCATGAATTGTGGACCTCCATTTATCGATGGGAAACGGACAACATTCGGTACCTTTCATCATTCCGGTTCCGGGTGCACGCAAAAGGGCAGCAAGTTATTTGTTAGGCTACCGGCTTATGGAAAACGGTCGAGTCTAGGTGTGAAACGTGTATCAAATTACTAATGCATGTTGACGTCTATCCGGTGAGAAGCGGATAGTGGCTACAACAAGTGCTTCCATGTCTGTGAAGGAATCACCTAGCTCAGCATCGCTAAAACTGGAATGTACTTTTTCCGGTTTAGAACGCAGAAAAACTGTGGCTTGTCGAAAAATATGCCCGATTGAACGATGCAACGGTGTGGAACACCATCTGATATTATTGAGTTTAGCAGTGAATCAGGGTTTCATATATGAACGATGGAATGATTAAGGACACAGGGATAGAACACACGAACTGAGTTTATGGACCAGCTGATGGGAGCTCTGTTACAGGATACAGACCTACTAGTTCTTATGGAAAGTGTGATTTGGTTTTTATAGACGGAGTCATGACTGCTGCGACGTATCTAAACATTTTGATAGAGCAATTAAGGCCACCACTTACTTAGGCCTCCTAACACCAGGGTTTAATCCCATTGAACATTAGTGAGATCATATAATAACACAAATATAGAATAATTCGAGATCTCAAAAGCTTATGGAACTCTGGTGAGTTTTACAAGAAAGGAAGAAATTTCTCAAACCCTGTCAACGGTATGTCATGCAGATTGGACGCCAGAAAATATGGTTATACAAATAACGTTTTATATCAGCAAACGTTGTTCTGTGTTTATCACGTGTTAACGAATTGCTTGTGATCACGGTTCCAGGCGATTCGATAGATTTGTGCCTGATTGGCTCCGTGGAAATGGGGTTCTCACCTTTCTCACTGGCCTTGTACCTTGACGAGGTCGATTCCTGTTTGGTGTTTTCGGTGGAACATGTGGTCATTGGTTACTAGTTGCGGTAAGATAGTTCATCACTTTGTTTATTGAAACGAGTCTTCCGGCAAAGATCATTTAGACGCTCACTTCGAATAGTTTTAAAAGTCCGTTTGCACCGGTCTCAAACATTTTCGGTCGTCAAGTCGTATCACTTGACCAACGGGAATATCTGTCCCACATTATCTCTGTCTGTTTCCACGGACTGAGCACCATGTCCTTCCTTTTCCATGGTACAAGCTTATGAGACCAGGTGTTTATGGTCAGATAGGGAGAGAACCAACTGAACGCGAAAAAACTTGCTTTCATATCATCATCTACAGAAATGCATGTTTACCCATAAAATAGGTTGGAATTTCGGTTCCTTGATCAGTCGCTGCTTACAAATACGAAAAGGGTGAAGTATCTCTATGAGACAAGAGTATATAAGATGAATTGGCAATGTGATACATCCGAATTGGGTCACTTCGAAGGTCAAATCAGTCGATCACGTGTAAGGTATCAAATTACCGATAGTTTAGTTCGCTAGTGACTCATCATGCACTGTTAACCTGTCACATCAGTCGTTCGTTGGTCACGTGAACGGAGCGGTGGCACGGTGAAAATTTGAACGGGATGCGAATAGAACGAACGGACGTTTGAATAATGAAAATGGGGAATTTATATCGGGTACTAGTCGACCGGTTGATGAAAGAATCCCCGGATTGCACGTAAACGGGTTTCGATTGTCCGGATATACCATCCTTACGCATTGTAAGAAAACACGGGGTAGCGAAAAAGCTCGTTAGTGGTGATTCTTCTGCAGGTTAATACATCACAGTTTATATCAAACAGTTTCATTGACACAGCCACATTTAAACAGCCCCGACCAACTGAAACGATGATTCCGAGTCTTTATGGCTTACCAAAGATACATCAAAATGGAGTGCCTCCGACCAATCCTAGACGGGTATAACCATACCATGGCCAAGTGGCCGTTAGCGATCCCGGAACTCGTGAGAGCATAATTCACCAAGCATACATTAAAGGATTCCTATGACTTTGTGGCTAGGAGTAAAAACACAAGCATGAACAGATTATTAGAATATCAAGCTTGGATTAGCTCATTCGATCGTTCAGAGGCACCAGGCCCTGTTGATGTTCTTGGGTGTGGGTTCCACTCATTGGGAGATCATTAATCCCTCACAATCTCATGCATTTACATGCGATAGTAATGTTTGTGACAACCAACTTTCGCGGTTCGAGTCCCGACAGGGACACAAGAAGTGCGCACTACTGACAAGTCCCAAACAGGACGAAACAGCTATCCAGCGCTCTTTTTTGGTTATCACAAACATTTCCCATCGCACATAAACGGATTACTCACTCGATGTCACTTCACTCTTCACATACGTTCCCATTGCTGAAACTATTGAATGCATATGTGACCACATACAAAGAAACAACTGTGATCTTAAACAATTACCATACTTTTGCACCCGCAACATACAAATCAAATTCAACGACGAAATTTATCGTCAAATAGATGGGGTAGCAATGGGATCTCCTCTGGGTCCATCGTTCGCAGACATTTTCATCCTTAAAAGAATAATCAATCGTTGTACATTATAGTGTGAAAAGTATTCAATTCAGCACATCCAAACAAAGTTCACTTTAGAGAACGAGACGAATGAGCAGACCGCCTTTCTGGACGTTCTACTAAGCCGACGACCAGACGGAAATATCCAACGTACCATCCACAGGAAGTCATCGCGGAACAATCAGTATGTCCATTTCAAAATCTATGTTCTTTTGGAATGGAAGTAAACATGATTCAGAGCTTAGCTACCAGAGCGCGGAGAATATGTACAGACGATACCATTGATACAGGATTGAGGTTTATCCGAGAGGTTTTACTTCACAATGGATACCCAGAACGATTCTTAGACAACATTCTGAGGTGTCACCATCGTTGAGGAGAAACCGATTTACATATCACTACCTTCCAAGGGTGATATAGTTGCAGAGATGGTGACACGTAAACTGAGTACAGCTGCAGAAAAAGCTTTCCCCGTAGCAAAACTGCGCATTATGTTCATCTCCAGGCCACTTATGCTTTCAACTCAAGGATAAATTGCCTGTTTCTGCCGTCTCTTTTTGTGTGTACTTATTTAACTGTTCTTGTGGAACAAGGTATATTAGTCGCACGAGCAGACGTTTATCTAAACGTGGGCACCACCCGGCCTGGCTGAATAATGGAGTAATTAAGACCAATAACAGCTTGATCGTTTCACACCCGGTGGAATCAAACCACGTGGTTAATGTGGCCGAGGCGTTTCGACCCCTCTACTTAGTTCGCAGCTGTCGCTCTAAGAGGATCAGGGATCGAATTCTGGCCACAGCGGAAGCGATCGGAATCCGCCTACATAATCTCCCCCTGTGCTCGCGAAAACAATTCGTAAGAACAATTGGTCTTCCATGGCCAACACC